GTATGTGGTGATGAGCGTAAATACCAATGTACTGTAGTTGGACTTAACAATGGTGCACATATCAATCCTATTCCGGCCAGTGTCACCAGTCTTACAGTCAGAGGTATGACAGTGTGGGTGTATACCATCCTAATATTTTCTATCTAATAAGGAATGTCTTTGTAATGGTCGTGTGCCAAAGAAAACTTACTTGTTAGTTTTCTAGATCTTAAAGTGTATCCTTCTATTACCTTGTGTTCTAATAATCGAAATATATAAACAACAAACAATTTGAAAGTATAATGGTTTACGCTACAGCTATGAACAGCAGAAAAACCTATTTTTGTTACTCTCTTTATCCCTAGTTGACCTATTTAACATGGTTTTTTTTATTCAGATAATAAATTCCCAAAATACGCGTGAGCATCCGATTCTCAAAAAGAAAGTGCAATATGTTCCATGTATACATACGTCTACTGAATGATTACAGCAAAGCCTAACGCCATAGCATTTAATAAAGTGGTAGTGGTCCCGTCAGCTGATGTCGAGGAGGGACAGACGGTCACGTTTACTTGTACCGGTAACGTTGGTCGGCCGGCAGGGACCTTTTTATGGACCAAGTACAAAGGTTCCACAGCCGGTACTGGTACCACCATAGACTCTACCACACAGACATCCCCTAGTACCGACTGTACCTTCACCGGCAGTAGTGTCATCTCTATACCGATGACCATAGACGACAATGGAATCGTTGTTAAGTGTGCCTTACAACACGTAGCCATCAGCGACCCAACAGACCCCGCCTACTTTAGACTAACTAATGTAATCAACGTGTTTTGTAAGTAAATGCGTATCAAATTATTTGGTTATCAATTATAATAAGATTCATAATGATATTGTATGTTGTTATGGCGAAAGTATTGGGTCACTTTTTTTTTCTTTTCTTATTTTTCTTTTTCTTTTGATTACAGTAAAATGTGAACATAAGGTATGGTGATTAATGTATTTGCTCAAATTGCTAACTGTGACGAGAAAAAAAAATTGTTGATACCTTTGTGATTAAGTTAAAGAAAGATTAAGATAATAAGTAATAAGTTTTTTCTGTAAACTCTTTATTCGTTTTCGAAGATGTACATGATGGTGTTGATTTACAACAAACAGACAAAGTGAGAGCGCCTACCATTACGAAGAGTCCAAACGCAGCAGTTCATTACGAGGACACCACCTTGACCTTGAGCTGTGCTGCCGAGGGTAACCCTACTCCTACGTATGTTTGGCGGCATAATGGAACACAGGTCGGCACCTCAGCACAGCTTCAACTGACCAACATCAAGATTGCCCAATCAGGAGACTATGTCTGTGAGGCCACGAACAACTTTAACGGGAACACGTACAACATGTCCAGTACAATAAGCATTACCATAGGTAGGACTAGATAATAAAGTGATGTCAGTTTAACGCCACATTACTATAAATCTGAATTAACGATATGGTGAAGGGTAGTTTTAACTTTATCCCAAAAAAATCTAATGATATTACCAGAACTTGCCTGTGTAACAAAGAAGTTATGTTAATATAAACATTGTTTCAAGAACATGAGGCATTCCTTTCAGTTGTTGCCTGTAGGGAATATAATATAAAATCCTCGATATTCCATTAGTTACGCCCTCTCATGTTCTTTGCTCACCTGCAACCCTTAACAAATGGTTATATGGCGCATTGATTGTAAGTGAGCGTGACCCCTGGAATCGAGAATAATAAAATCATATTATCATACAATAAAAGGAAACGCGGCTAAAACACCTGACTCCTCAAACGTTATAAGGGAGGCAATTCCGGTTATGTTATTTATCTGTTATTGAAATATTTTCCACTGGAGACAGAACTCTAAACGTTATGTAATATGATGGAGACACCTATTGTATGAAACTCAACACTTATTTTAATCTGACACATTAACGATTCAAGTTCGAATACTTTCAAAATAAACATTTAATGGCACCTGTAAATCAATATCACCCAGGGCAGGACGCAGAAACAATGAGCAAGAGACCAATAAACATCGTTTGATATACGATTTCATCCATTCAAGCAATTCCATTAGATACGATTTTTTTTTTTTTTTTTTTTTTTTTTTTTGTCTACGGAGATGTTGTTGTTATAAGTGGAGGGCATATATTGTTTTAAATAAAACGTACATTGTTTATACAGATTCACACCTATATACAGCGCTGTGGTTGTGATTTAAGTTCGAATACTTTCAAAAAAAAACATTTCATGACACCTATAAATCAATAACAACCAGACATAGTAGAGGGCGCTTGGTTTGCTGGGCACTGCTTGACGTATGAAAATACGGAACGATTCGGTACGTACTTTGTTACAGAAACATCACCTACCACTACACCAACGACTGCTACCACATCTGTAGACCCGGCGTCAGGAGCCTGTACCATACAGCGGACAGTTGATGACGGCGGTAAGAATCAACATATATAAACCACACGGTAGGACGCAGAAACAATGAGCAACAGACCAATAAAGGTTGTAAGTATCAATATATATATAAATACCCAACATAAAGACGCAGTACCAAATTATGAAACCACATATGCACCAAATGGCAGGAAACAGTACCAAAGAGCAGGCGACCAATGAGAGCAGTACATATCAATATATGTACCCCACGTAATAGGACGTGGTAACAGAGACCGACGATCGAGGTAGATACAGACTTATGTGTACCCCGACAGGACGTGGTTACAGAGACGGACGATCGAGGTAGATACAGACTTATGTGTACCCCGACAGGATGTGGTAACAGAGACTTACGATCGAGGTAGATACAAACTTATGTATACCCCGACAGGACGTGGTAACAGAGACTTACGATCGAGGTCAGTATAGACATATATAAAAAACGAAAGGACGTGGTAACAGAAACAGCCGATCGAGGTAAAATGAGACATATATAAACCACCGATAGGACGTGGTAACAGAAACAGACGATCGAGGTAAAAATAGACATGTATAAACCCCCGATAGGACGTGGTAGCCAAGACCGATGGTCGGGGTAGGTATAGACATATGTTAACCCACGAGAGGACGTGGTAACATAAACCGACGATCGAGGTAAATATAGACATATGAAACCCCTGACAGAACGTGGTAACAGAGACCGACGATCGAGGTAAGGATAAACATATCTAAATCCCTGACAGGACGTGTAAGTAGAAAGCCAAAGACAAATAATGGCGCTAAAGATGCATATGATTTTCTCATTGAAAACATAAGGTAGTGTTGCACAGTAAGTTGTTCATTTCATTTTCTTACAATTTGCAAGTAATTTGATGTTTAACAACATTGTTTGATATACAATTTAATTCAAGCGACTCCACTAGTTACGATTGTTTTTACTACGGAGATGTTCTTGTAATGAGTGGAGGGCATATATTGTTTTAAATAAATCATACATTGTTTATACAGATTCACGCCTATATACAGCTGGGATTGTGATGTTGTGTTTGTCGGTGATCCTGCTGATAGTGACCGTCGTACTTGGGATATTCATTAGTCGTGAGTATATAACTGATAGTCCTTTTATATACTGTGTTCATCTTATTACACGCTTGGTATTCGCGATATCATGATAGTAAATATCTATTGAACATGATTTTTAAGGATTTTCCTGCGTATTTATTTGATGTCGACTTAATAATTCCCGAAAAATGATAATACCTGTTATGTTTTTCATCTTTCTAAAGCCCTACATTGTGTCCATACAAATTTAAATAACGCGCGTAAAGTTTTCTCGGTATGTACATTTATCATACTGCATTTCGGGAAATTTCCGCTCAATTTTGATTTTCCCCTTCTCTATCCTCCGTAATAAATGAGAAGGTATCAGTACAGCGAATACAACTACAACATAATATTCATAGAAACGAATGTGAAGTGTGAAATTAATACTGGGCAAAAGTTTTGCTGAGTGAATTTCTATTCAAGTGATGTGTTTGTTTTAGGTAACAAAGGACTGCCTTGTTTGTACGTATAGTTCTATTACAATAGAATGCTGTGCTGCCGGGTATTTTTTCGTTTAAAATGTCCTTTTCTCCAACACAAATGTATCAACCGTTTATCGATGTTATGTTTGTCGGGGAAAAATAATGTATTAAGGATGTCAAAAGCATTTTTTACATAAAATGAAGATAAGAATCAATATGCAATCACAAATGCTAAATAGAATAGATGCAGGCTTCGCAGATGATTACATGTCATCAGGCAATCTTAAATCAGTATAAATAGCTGATATGATATCGTGACGTTAAGAGTAAGTAGAACAGCGATCGGACTTTTGATAATAAATGACGTGTATAAATGACATTTTACTTTCCAGCAAAATTTCAAAAATGAAGGCATCAACTCACTTTCAAAGAGTGCATTATTCAGGTAAACGGCAAATTATCTTTCAGGTTGTTCTTGTAAAGCGACAGACGAAATGATATTTGCTTTATTCCCATTACGGGCACTTGACGCTCACCTGTCACCTGTTACTAACATTGCTTATATATATAACTTTTTAACAGTTTACAAGAAGAGAAACTAACAACACAATGTAGCGCGAGATGTGATATGAATTCAGTGTTTTTTGCTCATGCTCATCAGTGTTCCTTGTGATTCTGTTGCACTATACTGCTTCTCACTATGACGACGTGATATAAGATTTGACCTAGATTTACGTTGATGAAACAGAAGTCGCTTACCTTCCGAAACACATGATTCTATTCACTTTCTACCTTGTTATGTTAATCTTTCCTTCTTTCACTTTCGTTCTCGAATAAGATTGTTTTCACAACACCTTCTTCTGCGTAAATGTTGTATTCCCCTGTAAAACTAACCTAGTAATTAATCTCCTAATCTTCACGGTAAAGGAGCATTTTAACTGGCATACACATCTTGATATCTGGATGAATAATTCGATTTAAAAGAAATTTTGATCAAGAATGAATTTTGTTTTTCAGTAAGTACAATCCAAGATGAAGACGAAAGGTAATGCTATCATATATAAACACATTGTCCTCTTAAAGTAGGTCCTCCCTCGGTCGATACTTCAGATACAACTATGCGAGAAGAGTGGTAATATAATTATTCACATTTCTTGTTATTGTTCAAAACACCTTCAAAAACACAATTAACTTGATATCGTATTCGGGACGTCTTTTCTCCGGGTTTTTTAAAGAGATAATGCACGGGTCCCCTCTGGGAAAGTTTTTGATGTAATGTAATGTAATGATGTAAGTAATGTACACTTTTTGTATTGATTGCGTTAAATAACATAACTTTTAACGCGGAACGTGTTAAGTATTTATAAGGTTAATAACAGTTACAATAAATAATTATAACGTTTGTTTGTTACTAAAATGTCAACTTGAAGGAAACACTGAAATGAGTATTGATGTCTCAACAGATCTCGATACCAACAACTAGACTCGGCTGATATTGCTGGACCATCTGTGTATCAGGCGCTCGGACAACCTCCTAACGGTAAGGTGATGTCTGTGTATGCCGTTACCTAAAGTAACGTGAAAGTGTTATGAAGTTAAAATTGTCGAAATATTATAAATTTAAAATTTGAACTTCTTAAAATCATGTCTTGATATCAATGTGTTTAAGTATTTAAATAAATGTTTTAGCATGTATAATTGTATATAGGACAGTTTGGTTTGATTAATGTTTGCTGAATATATCCCTATGACCGCACGTACACGGTTTTAAATTTTATTTTTACTTTATTTGGATGTGCTTTAAGCAATTTCATTGCTACGATTTGTATTTAAGTGTCACATACATAAGAAAGGAATTTGTTAATTGAAAAAGATAATCACACAAAAGAGATATTGAGTTTTGATGTCGATGTATTTTTGTTGTAGGTAAACAAGGGCGCTTAGACAGGTAAGCTGGATTAAATACCTTAACAACATACGGATGTCTCACTCTCTGTAACACATTGGTCAAACGTCACCCGTATATACTACACGGTCAGTTGTCTGGATTTGTCAACGTTACTAGTAGTTTGTTGTGTACTCCATTAACTCGTCTTTATACATGTTTTATTATACCTCTACTTATTTTACACTATACAAAAGTAACCACATAAACAAGCTATTTCCCCTCTAACTGCATGCCAGGTAAATAGTTCGTCTGGAGGGGTGTGATATTTTTGAAACTATTTCCCTCTGAAAATGCGGGAAATTGAGTGACGTCGTGGGCGGGGCCTGACCAAATATTGACCAATCAGCGCAATCGAATTACGTCGGCAATTTCCGGCAATTTCCGGCCAGCGGAGCCGTTACTTTCTGGACCGACCTTCATCTCGCATTGTTGTAGTTTTGTTAACAAAGTGTCCCAACTGTTGAAAAATTTGTTGTCTAATAATATTTAAAATATTGTAAGGGAGTGTTTGTATCGGTATAATAATCCCCCTCGTCCAGGACTATTTCCCTTGGCTTCGCCTCGGGAAATAGTTCTGGCCTCGGGGGATCATAAACTTGCTATTTCCCTCATAACAATACTTTAACTGTTAACTATCAATATCCAATGTTACCCGTTGGTTTTAACTCTCTAATTCGTGTTACAGAAATGATGATGTGATAGAAGAGAAGTCCGCGCCCAGGCTTTATGACGAGGTACATGAAACAGAGGACGGTAAGTTAACTATTAGATAGAGATATTCAGTGTTTATGACGAGGTACATGAAACAGAGGACGGTAAGTTAACTATTATATAGAGGTATTCAGTGTTTATGACGAGGTACATGAAACAGAGGACGGTAAGGTTACCTTCTTATATAGAGATGTTCGGTAATAACGTTGTGACATCACATAACACCGCTTATAATCCATCAAAATAGTCCTCACACCTCCTTACTGTATATACATGGAACGTTACAACAACACTATCCATTGTAGATCAACACACTTGAGTAAGGAACAAACAGAATGTGTATATCTTTTTAATTCAGTTATGAGAAGGAGGAATTGTTAGCAACATTTCTGATCTTCAATTTAGTATTGAAATGACATATATTGGATTTGTATCATTCAATGTAAGTTAATACTTCAGTAATACAATTTCTTTGTGATTATCTATTGTAGGTCATACCAGGTCCTACGTCAATATGGCCTTCACCAGGAACACATCTAGTGGTGGGACATAGCGTTAAGAACAACAGATTATGATAAAACATTTATAATCATTGACACCACGCTAGGATGAGTGGAGGTCATGCTGCATCAAACATTTTAACATCGCGGATATTTTGACGAGGGGTCAAATCAATATCAACTCCGTGTTGTTTCATGTAGTACTGCATCGATATGGATGTGATATTAATGTTTTTGTCGAACATTATTTTTTATGTATATTTGTTTTACCAATTGTTTAATTAATTTCAAAATATGTATAAATAGTGCATAGACATTTATATATCATGTTTATTATTTATATCGTACATATCTCTGCCTTGCTTTTATTTTTACTATTATTTGTAGTCATGTTTTGTCAATTAATTTCCAGAATATTACTTTTGTATGTTTATATAAAGGAAAAATGGAATATGAAAGAGGAATAGATAAAAAGGCATTTGCTTTGCATAGTTTAAGGATGCACTCATCTTAGGTTTAGTTCAGGTTCAAATCACGTTCTGATCTAGTGTGACGGTTTATATAAAAATAAACAACTTATGACCAATTTTACACGAATACATGCGAATGAAAATATGTAAATAAACGACATACCTATATCATGTATATACAGAACCAATTTTTTTTCAATTGAAAAATAAAAAGGCTTTATTCGGCAGCCATTTGAATATCCGAAATGAAGTTTATTTCAAGCAATGCTAAAAGGTCACTTTTTGACGCTAGATCTATCACTAAAAATGTAAGTGTAGCTGTAACGAGTTGATTTTTTCATGTTTAAGTTTCAAATATTCAGTATTATGAAATTAAGACGCAATAAGGAGGAAAATTGTACGATATTGATACATTTTTCAATTTTTAGACTTCTTCTGAAGAACCAGTAAATGGATTTTTTTCAAACTTAGTCAGCACGACACTTGGTGGAAGAAGTTATCAAATTGTAAAATGGGGTTCCTGCTTAGAACCAAAGGGCAACTCTTCTCACGTGGTAGTCGGGTGGTGCAGTGGATAGCGCACTTGCCTTTCACCAAGGCGACGGGTTTGATTACCCGACCGAACGTGGAACGTTTCGGCGTCACCTGTCCGACCATGTGAGTTTTCAACGGGTTTTCGCCCACCCTAACACCCGGACCAACAAGAGTGATTAATATAAGTTGAAATAACTTGTTTCATAATTGTTCTAAATAAATATAGTTCATATTTATATATTCGTTCCCAATTGGAGAGGGGTAAAATTTACAGTAGTTTATAAAGGGATACAGTACTTTCGGGTATATTTCGTCCATTTCCAGCAGGTAATTCAAACTTGGTTAAGGTAAGTAGAAAATGGCTAAATTTCTGAATATTTTCTGATCAATAATAATTAAAGATTAAAATAACATGCAGGCAGCTAGTATCTTTCAGTTATGTTGTTATAATAACTGTGATTGTAAACGAATTAACTTATTGTGACTACTGATAGATATTTATGATGCACGTGTCCTTTTTACGTTTTTAATACACATATTAACATGTCATTACAACTCTTTACAACCATTATGGAATACATGTATTTATTGATTAAAGTATTCATAATCTCTTAATAATACTTTGTATTATTAACACCTACACCGTTTTGAAACAGCCTATGAACAAATTGCTCTTAGCTGTGAAAATAGACGTGTGTGCGAGGCGAGACTAAACCGCTTTAAGTTATATTGGACGGAAAAATAGGCAGTTGACAATATTTAATTCAGATGACACATTTTCCCTTTATCCGCATGGGTTGTGATCATAATCAAGTGGAAGTCGTTGATTTTTTTATATTAACTCGGTGTTACTATTTTTAGTAACACCGAGTTAATATAATATAATATTCACTTTAACACGTCATTTCAATGGTAACGTCACAGTGTTCTCTGCCAAATGCCAAATCTTCCTCCGTACAAATTCCATACGTATCATCCTGTTTAACGATTTAAACATTGTTTAGCATCAAATATAATAAATCAAGGCTTTCATTTCGGTAAATATTTGGTTATATAGCCCTGAAGAGTGATATTGACTTCGACTTGGTGTCGGTCAATATAACTGTCTCATGTTTATATGCATGTTACCATATAATCACCCCAAACTTAAGACCATAAGTGATAAATATAATACAACTACCAGTTCGGCACAAAATAACTAGGTAATATTGCCACTTTGGGAAACAGTTAAATATATAACGAAAACGGTACAATCGAAAGTTATTTACAAGCGATAACTGTCATTAAAATGTTCGATATTACAAAAATATCAATAACGAAGCCTCTAAACCCTACAAAACATAGTAAAAACCAATGTGTACGTTTATCACCGTTTCAAAATAACCTGACCATCTACACCAGACGCTTTATCCCAGTGTTAACCTTATCTGTTTCACAATAACTTTTTGTTTCATCGTGTTGTGGTGTATGGTAAACTGTGTAAGCTGTGGCTGCCTCGCTTTGACTATTAGAAACTGGCTGATAATCCACAGTACATGTACATATGTTGTTACGCATCCATTCCGGCATCCCGTTATACGTTGATACATTTTGGTTGGTCAAACTATAAAAAATATATTTTTAACTTTTGTGATGGTATGAAGCTGAACAGTATTGTACTGTTATATTGACCTCGTCTTCGACTTTGCCAATATTACTTTTACATGTGAATATCACAACATATACACCATAATTAATGTCAAAAATCGTTTAAGTCCATAAACATTCATTTAAATTGTCGTGTTATATTCTATCACCATACCCGTAGTATATGTTTGCTTATTAATTCCTGCAATATCAACTATTGTGACGTCATCAAATGATAATCAAATGATGCCACACACTCCTAATATATTATGATGCAAATTAGACAAAATGTTAAACTTCAGTAATGGCCTAGAAAATGCTCTTTTTGCAATTTTCGCAAACAGTCTTGATCATGTAATAAAGGGATCTGAAATTTGTTTCCGTTACTTATTAGATTGATGGAACTTGCCTGAGAATCGGTGAAAGGAAAAAGCTAGACTCGTTTTATAGATCTAAGGGCATGGAAAGTTATGTTAGATCCTATATACATTCTAACAAAACCTTACTATTACGGTATTCAAGACTATGAAGACTTAATAATGCAACTTAAAGTAAGGCTGCAAATATACCTTAAAACCATAATTTGGATGATGTGAGAAATAGCTTACTCGTCATAAAAAATATTTTTAAGACTTATACAACTTATCAGCAATACAGTATCGCCTGTTACACTGCACTGATCTAAACCATGACAGAATCGAACGATCTTCCCACAATTTGCTTGGAACTGTCCGACATTTTCGGTGATGAATTATCATCTAGCGGTAATGAAACGTTAACAAATATTAAGTGGGAAACATTGATTTTTAACCAATTTATTGACACGAATGAAAGCTCATCCAAAATCGTACAATGTTTGAATGATCATAAGTTTGAGACAAGGCAAATCGTGTCTATGTCTAACCACAAAAACGAATCCTCACTCCGGTCATATTACAGGACCGTGTCAGCATCACAAAAACACTGAGTGGTGCACTCTCCTGTTTAAGTCATCCTGAGTAACAATCAACTGTTGGCCTACACTCTGCCGCAAGGACACACACTTCAAACGTTTTCAAGTATCTCTCAGCCACAGTTTCATAGCGGGTCTCTTGTAGCATCTACCAACTGTAGCCAGGTTTCCATGCAATCAACAAACATTCGAGTTTTTTTCACTGCTTTTTCAACTTCCAAAAATAATACCCTTGTGAGGGCAAGGTCGGATTATGGTATTGACTGTATTTATCCATGCGCAAAATTTGTTCTTGGGTTAAAATAAAACTAATTTCAAATCTAACTTTCATCTCAGGTTTCTATTGATAAAATTATTTCACCCTATATACAATTCATACGCAATTTAATGGATACTTAACTGTTGAATAAAATTCAAGTATCAACGAATAGTACCACTTTCAGGCAAACCATTGCATTCAAAATCAATATTGTAAGCAATCGAAAATACATATAAACTTGTAATTATATATTATATACGTGGTGGTCAGTACTACGGGAGGTAACTTTGATATTTCCATGTTATACTACTAGAACATCGTTTGCACCAAATCATGGTTCATAATCATATATATAACTAAAAGTACACTATTTTGCTTAGGTTAAAAATAACTGCAAACAGTTGGAACACAATTCCATTTACACGTGTTATTCAACGTGGTACGCACTCAAGGTCAAATGTACGTTCCTCTGCTTAATGCAGGTATTTTTATCAAACGATTTAAGGAATAGTGAATGAACAGCAGAATTATTATTTTGAACATAGCAGTAAAGATATTTTACAAATCGATTCATATAATTTACAATCGTATCAGTCAATGCATTCATTGTATAAAATCTACATAATGACTAAACTCATACCCACTACATCCTCGACTAGTACCACTCCAGACCAGAAATCAGAAGACAGTGTTAAATATCGGTAATCCAATAACGCCACGAAAGGTAATAAATTGCTTTTTACTTTAGCGGTTGTTAAACGCCAGGACGCTATACTTATATCGCTGACCGATATTTACTTAAGATGTGGTCAGTAGGTACTGACAAAATTAAGTGCATCCCTTCGCCTTACAACTTGAATATACAATTAAGATGTCATCTTATATACGTTCTCGTCTAATTAAAATTATGTTCAACCATGCATACCATTTTTCTTAGTGATCAAATGATGAAAAGTGATGAAAAGTGAACAGCCGGAATTGACAATATTAAATGTTTTTCTTCGCTCTACAACTTGAATATACTTTCTTATTCTACATTATAGTCTAATTAAGAATGTCATTTTATATATGTGTTCACCTGATCAAAATGGTTTTAAAACAGGGTTGTCGACAGTTAGCTGATTAACCGGTTACTCGATTGGAATACGGTTATCAAAATAAATAGCCGAATAGTCGTATATGTATTAACCCCTTTTGGGAGCCCCATGTTTACAAGCTTAGACCTACAAATTATCTATGCGAACAAAATCGGGCAGTTTTGTAATTAAAACAGTGTTGTTTTCATATTCTATTGTGAATATTGATAAAAATACATTACAGGTATCCCCGTACATTGAAATGACAAGGTGAGTAAACACACCTACATTACAAGTGTACCGTGCATTGTAGTGAAACAGTAGACATACCTTAACACCTACATTACAGGTATACCGTACATTGTAGTGAAACAGTAGTCATACTTACACACTTACAATACAGGTGTACCGTACATTGTAGTGAAACAGTAGACATACCTTAACACCTACATTGCAGGTATACCGTACATTGTAGTGAAACAGTAGTCATACTTACACACTTACAATACAGGTGTACCGTACATTGTAGTGAAACAGTAAACATACCTAAACACCTACATTACAGGTGTACCGTACATTGTAGTGAAACAGTAAACATACATAAACACCTACATTACAGGTGAACCGTACATTGTAGTGAAACAGTAATCATACTTACACACCTACATTACAGGTGTACCCTACATTGTAGTGAAACAGTAATCATACTTACACAACTACATTACAGGTATACCCTACATTGTAGTGAAACAGTAATCATACTTACACACCTACATTACAGGTGTACCGTACATTGTAGTGAAACATTAGTCATACTTACACACCTACATTACAGGTGAACCGTACATTGTAGTGAAACAGTAGTCATACTTACACACTTACAATACAGGTGTACCGTACATTGTAGTGAAACAGTAGTCATACTTACACACCTACATTACAGGTATACCGTACATTGTAGTGAAACAGTAATCATACTTACACACCTACATTACAGGTGTACCGTGCATTGTAGTGAAACAGTAAACATACCTAAACACCTACATTACAGGTGTACCGTATATTGTAGTGAAACAGTAATCATACTTACCCACCTACATTACAGGTGTACCGTACATTGTAGTGAAACAGTAGACATATCTACACACCTACATTACAGGTGAACCGTACATTGTAGTGAAACAGTAGTCATACTTACACACCTACATTACAGGTGTACCGTACATTGTAGTGAAACAGTAGACATATCTACACACCTACATTACAGGTATACCGTACATTTCAGTGAGTTGGTTAGTTAACGTTTAATATCTGTATATATACATACACCTAATTTACGGGTTGTTACGTACATTGTAGTGAGATGATGAGTAAAGACACCTACATTGTATATGTACCCGTGTACAGCAGTGATACGGGAATGGAAACTGTTGGTCGTTGCCGGACAGGTTTGGGTGATATGATTTAATAAATAATACGTAATTTCACAATCGAATCGACTGCAGTGAACATATAATCTAACTGTTTGTTTGTTTTATGTTTAACGCCCTTGCAACAGCTTCGTCATATATGGATGGGCTATCAAACGTACTCTACACGTCAGGGCAAGCGTACGGTCAATAAGGCAAACCGTATATTGTAAGTGAGACACACGTATTCATCGAGTGATGCATGGTTTACAAACAAAATCAATGTATTTTGGTAATGTTATCAGATAATGTCTTGTTTCGATGTTTTCATGAAAAGCACAATCGTAAAATTTACAAGAAAACATAACACCATACAATGTACATTGTGGAGCTTCATTGGATGTAAATATGAATAAGTATAGCAGTAAACAACACGTACAGGTAGCTGTCACAGATTTATACATAGGGTGGCTTATCTACATTCAGAACATGTTCCGGGTTAAAACACGCCGTCAATATGGCTGCTGTGTGGATTGTGTCGGCGTTAGTTTGTTTTCTCTACTCCGGTAAGTAAACCACTAAATGTCTATGTTATATCAGGGTCTAGCGTCCTTCTATGACGTCATATGACCTCTAGTTGTGTTGTCCTCTCCTCGGGTGTGTATCATCACCAGTATGTGGTTTAACAGTGGTACATTGCCACGACCCTATATCATTGGAATAATACATGAATTCCACTTTCTCATACACAACAAATAATTCGCAGAAGCGGTGTTTCGTTATAGATTGGTCTAGAGGAACACCGGTTATCACAGTCTATGACAGTGTGTCGATAAGGAAATGACCAAACCTTACTGACCATGTTAAGTATACGAAGTATTTGAAATTGAAACAGGAAGTAAATTGGCGTGTCCCGCTATGAATTGTAATCTGATTCGAATAGATATTTTATAGATATTTTATAGATATTTTATAGATATTTTATAGATATTTTATAGATATTTTATAGATATTTTATAGATATTTTATAACGGGTCTGAATTTCAAAATACTCGAACTTCAAAACAGGAAGTAATGGTTGTCCTGACTTAAAATAATATATATTTGAAAGATTTGTTTTCATCATATTAAGACATTCTTAATGTTTTGTTGGTATTTGTACTTATAACGACTAGATTCCAGGTTATCTTAACACGTAAATATTGAATTGTGTATAGCGACACAGATCTAGTTATATATATGTATTGATTTATTTACAGAAACTACCATAAGCAAATATAGAGATGATTAGATTGTATTTGTTACAAACGACCTGTATATACTGTGATCGGGGTGACCCATTCCAGCAATGTTTCACTCCTCCAACCCTTTCCCATACACGTACAAATAATACTCTCGTGTACATCGGGGATCTTAACAATCGCCACATATACGTCTCTGCCACAACTAAAAGAGCGGTCCGTTCTGCTTTTGATTTAACATGGAGAACAAGGTAAACAAAGTTTTTGTAGGTCCCGTTATATTGCTATCTAAGTCCGTGGTAAGACTTTGTCCATTCAATATGACGTGGATGACGAATTTCATTTTGGATTAAAATACCTCCTTCAACGAGCTTATAGAAGCAGAGACGTTTATATAACAGAATATAATATTGTGAAAACCTCTATCTACTAAACAAAATTAATCACTTTCTTTATCGTCTGGTTACAAATGTTAGGACCAGAATTTTCCTGACGTTTATTTTCTCACTTGTATTGCAGACAACAGGAAATGTCACCTCGAGTTAATGTCGGGAGTGAGGGTTTACTGTATTGTTAATCATAGTCAAAGGAGTCTAAGCATTAATTTTTACTCTGTTTCTATTATACATGCAAGTAACGCTTAATATGTTAAACAAACGATAAACATTGAAGAAACCTAAAACTCAATTGTACTCGAAAACAGTCTCGGGTGATACCAACGAAAGTCTTCAATTTACATTCAGAGCCACACAGAAGAGCTTCGTACCAAGACATCACTTCCAAAATCTGCCCCACCCCTTTTAAAATCCTGATTGCTTGATAGGTTTTACTCCGCTTCACTACCGAGTAGTTCGGTTATCCAGCAGACGAAGAAAAGGCGGGAAAATGAGTAGAAGGGATAAAATATGGAGTGAAGGGAAAGAAGAGGGATTCAAAATCCTTTAAGCAGAGACTTAATGATATATACCATACTAGTGTATGTACTATGAATATAATGGTTTTATACGCCTCTGCTTTAACCGCCCCGATGTTTATTTTTTAACCAAAAACAAAGAAATAGTACTATATAAATGTCTGATCAGGGACGTATACGTCTCTAGTCTGATGTACTGACAAAAAAACCGATAGCTGTATCTTTTACGTAATATAAGTTCCATCTCAGGCTTTACTGAAATGAGGATGTCCAGGGGCGAAAGGTGATGTACCGGTAGGGGATGGTGAACTAAGGCCACCCATGATAGCGTAATGGTCATAGTAACTAACACACCGATCTGTTCTGTTACATATCCAGGTAAATTAGCAAAAGGAATCTCATATAAGATGACGCGACACGTTAAGATTTTTGAATTGTGATTTTGTGAAAATTAACATAAAATAGTTACAAGCAATTTGTCAACTAAAAACATAATTAAAATAAAATGTTGCTTAGAGAAATAAAACAAGTTGAAAAATATGAAAATCTTGAATTCAATCAGTGTAAAGTTTGAGTTGTCCTATTAAAATGCGGAATGCACCCTTTTTTTTTTTTATCTCATTCAACCTTTCGATTTTCCTTCTTGACACACGAATCAATCAGTTACTTATCGTAAAACTGAAAGAAGTTGCATATCTCCCCCCCCCCCCCCCCCCCCCCCCCAAAAAAAATAAAATTATAGTTGTGATTAATCGACTATTGTTATAAGGATAGTGAAATCAGTGCTATTTGTGCAATACACTTTTCAAAATGACGGTCAAGAGAGAAAAAAAAATAGACAACACTCAATAAACTCTGTCTGGAAGCAAACAATAACTTTTATGTAATTGTTTTCTTATTATACATCGGTGGTGTATCGATAATACAATGGTAGCAGTATACAGTAGAAATGGCCCGACTCTGATAAACAAGGCACATGTCGAGGAAATGTAAATACAGCGGATTTCCCCTACACAACACATGTATACATGTATATATATTTGTAAACTGCATCACATTTACAATACATATAAAGTACTGAGAAGTGTATAAACCTCTTTTTTCTATGTATGTCACTTGTGTGAAAACCATGGTTACCACATCAAAAATTACCAAAAAATGCCAAAAAATTGCTATTTTTGACCCAAAATTTGACCCCCGAAACTAGTAATTTTTTTCCTAAGTTCTGTCTGAAATTAAAGATTACCTACCTGGTTGCAGAATTATCTGGGTCCCAGTAAAGTTGTAAAACTTGTTTTTTTGCAATTTTGCGTCGTGTGCTGTTGTCAAAATTTTACCTCCTGTAAAACTAGCTTTTCATGTGTAAGCACCCTTTCGGATTATGGCCAAAATTTTGTTCTCGAACCAAAAAAAACTTCTTTTTTTTGTACAAATGTGAAGCTCACATAGCCCACTTCATCATGCTTATACCAATTTTAGTACAGTTTTATTTTTATATTTTTTTTACATATCATTATACAGGGGTTAGCCAATTAACAAAAATATCACCCATGGCCACAACCCTCTACTGTATACTGCTACCAATGCTAAGGCTGTTTTGAAAATGTGTATGAGTACACTCATATCCGTACACGTAGCTTGAGATAAATTATTTTGACTTACTCTTAATTTTTTATTTGTATAAAATGATGTAATGTTCTTACACGTCTAAGTTTATTACAGTTTGGCCTATGATCTAACATGAAATGTATATCTTGCTCGTGAGGGTATGAATAATTTGGATATATTGATCTCTCAACACGTAGTTAAAGCTAACAATAACATATATTAATTTATAAACTTGATAACAGTTAAGCGTAAATAGGCGCAAACAAAAGTTTGAACACTCACTGCAAAAATAAAATAATAATAAAGAAAATAGTCTCCATGCATCTTGCGTTATACAGTATAACCTGTCTAAACCGACCACTGTCTAGTCCGGATCCCTGTCTAAACCGGCTGTAATTTGTGGTCTCGGCATATTGATCAGAGTAGTAAAACCCTGTATAATCTGGACCCTGCTTATTCCGAAAACCGGCGTTGTTTTTCAAAAATTGGCATAGTAATCTATCTACATTCCGGTCCTAAAATTTCTTTCGGCCGGCTACAATCTAAATCAAAGAGTATTTGTATTTGAATGATTGAGTTATAAAATACAACTCTTCACATAGCTGTCGTGCTGTAGAGTATTATGTAATGTATGTCCATGTTAAGTTGTGTACTGATAAGCAGCAAGGCCTTGACAAATTGATTGAATCTAATCGTACGGTACGGAGTAATCCGGGTGGTGTTGAGCAAACGTACTCTGAACATGTCGTGACACTTGTCTGTCATCGCGGTATAGATACTCAACAGAAATGTATGAAAGAATGTGTACTCATGACTTATGTAATATATAAAATATATAATAATTACTTCAGGTTAGATATTATTGTTGTCACTGAAATGAACCGATTCGCCAGTTATATAAGTATTTTTCGTCTAAAAAAACATATTAAATAAATAATATTTCTGTAAATAACGTTAAAATGGTACATCGTTTTGAATCGTAACTTGTCGTCGTCATTGAACGGCGTCATTTCCTGACCAGTTGATTGACTGAGTGGTTTTATGTCCGCTTCATTGACGTGAAGTCCGGTTATCCAGCAGACGAATGTGACCAGTTTCTGTGCCGGAATCTTTATATTACAAATATGTATATACTGTTTTACTGCTTTAGTCCAAAAATACGGAAATGTATGAGACAAGAAACGTTTGTGTCTGCTATATTTTAAATGACTAATGTATGGCATATGTTGAATATGATCGACTTACCTACCAAATTGACTATAATGTCTCTTTCTTATGTTAGGTCGACGAATTACCGACAAACAGTTACACATTTAATTTTATGCAACGTTCACATGCTGTGCTACATTTTGTTTATATCGAGAATGAGAATAATCATAAACCATTTTCTTCATTTAATATACATAAGTTATAACATCTTGGTTCAATAATGAAAGTCATCTCGACCTTCTCTCTATAGCCTACTAAGGTGTGAAATTTGTGAACAGGTGAATAACACTATACACACCTGGGTCCAATGCTGACAGTAGGAGGCCCGAGATACACCTTTATACATGTGAATAACATCAAAGGGATGTCAGCAGTTCGTATAGGGGGGAACCTGGGTTCATTTCAGTTCAGTTTCTTTGTTTCCGAGAGACATCCGTCTCATAGCTTAATGTCAAACAATTACATTATAGTGATGTTAGCACGTAGATTATGTGTCTTCAAATATTCTATTTCACACCGTTAACAATGTCTTCAGACACTGCCAGAGTGTGTTTCATTATATGCAAACCACAATCAGTACAATTGCATCACCAGAGAGAAGAAATAAACAAGGAATAACGCAAATAAATCCGTTTGTGGACATTCGATATCTTGACTTATCAGATATTAATAATAACATACATCATTTGATATAGTGCCCTATCTAGCTAACATAAGCCACTCTAAAGCGCTTCACAGTACACATATATACAATTAACACAGTTAGCATATACATAATCAATACAAGTTTTGGGGAATTCGCAGGAGCTGCCTTATCAGGCGCTAACTACAGATGGAACAACGACAAATTAGCTGATTCTACAGGGACCTGGGAATTTGTTACAGCTATATTTTGACAGAAACTAATGTGTTCAGAGTAAATGTACCTTTTTTAGGGGCTGATATCGTACCGTTTATGTCCAGATATAGCTGTAACAAATTCGCAGGTCCCTGTGACTGTACCTCCTAGATGATAGCTCATTCTTATTTAAATTGTAAAAGTCGTCGTTTATGTATATAAAGCACTTTCTTATACAATTGTCATATATGTTTTACGTAGCTTTCCGGTAAAAGGTTACCAGTATCGAGGCGATCGCCGCTGGGGCAAAGGTGTGCTTTTCATAAACGGCTGCTATGATCGACGACGTTTGTTCTTTTTTAGCCTTTTTTTGAAGAATATGAGGTATTTTCACAGCATAATATAGCAAACTAATCAGTCGTTAGTCGTCTGAAATGAACTTTATATATTTTTACATTTTGAAGCAGCAAATGAAAAATGATATAAATTACTGTTTTGGTAATTTAGTTACATTATCCTTACCACTCTTTTCACTACAATACGTAATATCAAACTGAAGAAACTCATGTTTTTCATTACATGTAATAATAAGGTGTGTTCGTTACTATCGTATTTTGACGTGTATATCCATATTTGTTGTGTACCTGTCCGGTAGTGTCAGTGTTAGTCCATATTTGGTGATGTACCTTGAGCACGTATCAAGGTATGACAGGTGATTCGTACATAAGTGATTGAATTTCAATAAAACCAACCTAGTTCGTAGGTCGTCTCAAGGGGTTCACAAATTGGTATCCGTGGTTATAAGGCCTTTGCAACCAGCCGATATCTTTCTCAGCTGCTGGGGGAGCATACAGCCGGTGCTGCAATTTTTGCGCTCACAGCTTGCATTCTACAATTCTAGCACTGCCCAACCACGTACTTATTCACAACGGAGTCTATAGGACATATACTTACTGGACGTCGTCCGTGAACATATAACTATAAACACTAACACGATTTAGTAGTCGATGAAGGTAAATATACATGTACATAATTATGTTCAACGTTACCGTAATGTAAAAGATATTTCGGGAAAGTAATTTTAATTACACTGTAGCTCAAACTTTACTAGGGCATTTATTTTGTGCATTTCAGATTTGTTTAACGATAGTTATATTCGTGTATACCTTTTTTCCTCGGAGAAATAAAAAAAAAACTGCACAGACAGTAACGAACACTCATCGGATAGAAAATAGACCATAGACATAGGGACTTCCCCTAACAGGACACGTGCACTGGACTCAAACAACCTTATTATTACATGAACGTGTTCAGGTACTTAAACATATATATATTAATACACCTTTGTATATCCCTGTGAAATAGTATAAATGCGTGCGTCCGTGTGTGAGTCCGCACATGCGTCGTAGGACTTACTATTGTATGATGAGACAGGCCATGTTCCATGAAACAGTTAACATATCTTGTCGGTGGTTAAGGTTGTATGTCCTTTTGAGTATTCAGTCAACGCGTTCCGTGACGTCATAAAAACGACGTTATTACAAATGGGTCTTTTAAACTCTTTCCAATATTTGAAAATGATCGCGAACTTGTAATAGAAAATAAATTGTTCAAAATGGTACTTATACATACCTGCTGCAATGATACGTGTTTTGTAAGTATAAGAGATGATCTGACTGACGGACATACAATAAAATACAACCCACCATTTACATAACTATGAAATGTATTGACCATTTCAGGTATACGAGGTGATATTTCTGTCACAACGACAATAAACCCAGTGGGACTTTTGGGAAACAATGAAGTGGAACTTGTGTGTACATATAGTCTTGCATCCGTTGATAGAGTGTTTTCCATTTCATGGAAAAGGGAGACATCGAAAAACTCTGGAATATATGAACAATTAGCAGGGTTTAGCCCACCAGGAGCATCACAGAGTCATGCAACGTTTACAAATTTGACCAACCCATCTGTGTTTGGACGAGTAGTTCTAACAAACCCTACAGATTCCTCCCTCACAGCTAAGATCAGGTTTACAAGTGTGGTATGTGGTGATGAGCGTAAATATCAATGCACTGTACTTGGAATAAACAAAGGTGCACAGATCAATCCAAGCCCAGCCAGCGTCACCAGTCTTACAGTCAAGGGTATGATATTTTGGCTTATATAATCACAGTATTCATCATCTAATAATGACTGTTATGTGCTGAAGACATTTAAACCTTGTTTTGCCGGTTTATTTCTTATATAATATTTTTTTATACCTAGAATGGCCGAAACCCTCATTTTTATCACAACTTGACTCTTTTTGCGTTACGGCATTAAGGAATTAAAATGATTACTGTTAAATTAAGCACATTTTCTGTCCATCATTTGTTCAGCAACATTTTTTGTGTTAAAAAGCGAGATAGATATTTTGATAAAATAATAAAAATAAATGGGTGCACTTAGATAAGTTGTTTAGGGGGGGGGGAGGTAATAAATAATGGACATTATAAAGATAGTTTATTATACATGATATCGCAACAGGAATGGTTTGTGTGGTTTGTTAATACAGGTGTAAAAATAAGCTGTTTTTAAATACCATGTTATATTGTAAAATATAGTTCATTATGTCACTTACTAGAATTGAAATATGCAAACAAATTATCACTAAGAAAATGAATTTCAAAGATTCTTGTATTTTTGTTAAGAAAATGTGATTTACTAAAGAAAGTGAAGTCAGTGATACCTTTCATTGAATTTACTGTTAACAGCAAAGCCTAACGCCACATCATTTAATAAAGTGGAAGTGGTCCCGGCAGCTAATGTCGAGGAGGGACAGACGGTCACATTCACTTGTACCGGTAACGTTGGTCGACCGGCAGGGAGCTTCTTATGGACCAGGTTCAGTAGTACAACAGCCCCTACTGGTACCCCCATATACTCTACAACACAGACATCCCCTAGTACTGACTGTACCTACACCGGCAATAGTGTCATCTCTATACTGATGACCAAAGACGACGATGGTATTGTCTTTAAGTGTGCCTTACAGCACGAAACCATCAGCGACCCCACAGACGCCACCTACTTCAGACTAACTGGAGTCATCAATGTATTTTGTAAGTCAACGTTAATTAATGTTTGTCTTCCTATTTGATAATCAAAACGATTAAAGTTAATTTGTGCTGTATGATGTTAAGGGCAAAGAATTTGATAATTTTGGTCAACAATTTATTTATTTATGTTTTATGCACAGTCAAATTGTTCAGTGCATTACTAAATCACAATAAACTTAAAAGGAATACTGCCACGAGCTCGATATATATTATAATATGTTAGGACTGTGTCGTATACTGCTCTCAGCCATATTGAACAATGGAATAATTGCTTTTATGATGTAGATCTCCTTAGAATTGTTCCTGTTAAAAGTATCAATTATTTCAGGCCAACCATTGCATTCAATATCTATTGTAAGCAATCGAAAGTATTCATATGCTTATCAATGCATTCATTGTATAAAATCTAAAAAAACAACTTAACTCACACCATCGCTTCCTCGACTATTACAACACCACACCATAAATCAGGAGGCTGTGTTAAAAGTCGCAAATGTAATAACTCCACTTAAGGTAATCAATTGCTTTTTACATAAGTTTTCAGTTGAAGTTCAAACTTCTTTGATCTATTACATTTATAGCTAAGTTAAAAGTGCTAACTCCAAAATATATCAATAAATGTTTAAGCAAGATTAAAGAGATATTCATCAACTTTTAGCTACTAACTTTGCTAATGAGTTGATAATGCCAAATTATCTGCAAATGACAATGAAATCGATATAAAAACGTTTAAACCTCATATAAAAAATTGGTATATGAGTGGTTGTATTAAGACTACATCAAAGTTGTCAGGACCAATACCGAAGGTACGTATCAGCATATATAAAGTCAAGAACGGGACGCTGTGCCACAATCTGATGACAGCAGTAAGTACTATTTATTTATAAGTTGTGATCGGTAAATATTTGAATTGACAAAATTAACTTGAATCATCCTCTCGTATTTCCAATTATGTCCTATTTAGAATGTAATTTAATTAATGTTTTCGCCGGTTAAAAATGGTTATTAATAATGCATACTATTTTGCTTATGTAATCAACCAGCAGTTACACAGCTGGGGATGTAACTGTGGTTGGACTCGGGGATTTTGAGTAGAGAATAGTAGTAAATTTTAACATTGTTAAGTTCATACTATCAGCTAGACATGTCATGTCACTATGATCACAGTAACGTGATTTAGCAAAACTTTAAAAATACTTTTTCACTGATTTTATTGTAAGTTTTGTAAGATGTTAACATGTGCAAAAAGTATCATACCTTATAATATGTTTTGTTGTTTTAAGCAATGTATTGCAGTTTTGATTTGTAAATATATAATACATATATCAATGTAGAATTGGTGTTGTTGTGTTAATCAAACAGTTAAGTACACTATCGGTAAGTATATTAATGTAGTACATTGTATGTGTATGGCTTTAAGTTTGTATCTATTATATGATTTCGTTGTGTTCTCATTGATTACTTCCGTCACTTTCTGAAACATTAAGGCGTGAAAACTGACTGTCATTCGGAACCTGTTTAGCGATTGTTGACATACGGCAATTTGCTATTTAAAAGATAATGCATAAACAATTCTATATTTACAGATATTGACAATTAATTATTAAAAACATGATTTTTCTATTTCAGCAGTTTTTAAATTTAACGCAGATGGGTGCTTTTTTATATGCAAAACAAGATAAATTATAAAACAGTTGTCACTCTTAATCCCAATGGCAAAAGTCAACGTCCTTGAAGACGGCTGGAAGGCAAAACTATTGGGACTATGAAGGACATCTTTTTAAAGTTAAATATCTTCTTAAAAAACATCAAACAATCATGTATATACAGACACATTTAAATACCACTTATTATAGTTAGAAGCGTTTAAGTTGCTTTCTGTTTTTTTAAATATGCGTGATGTAATATTTATCGTGTGAATAGCCAAGTTCATGAATTACATAAATTTGTATACACCGCATACAATAATCAGAATATTCAGAGTCATTATCACGTTTCAACAATAAAGGCAAAGCTATGCAGATATACCAAGCTTTGTAGTGAAACAGTATTCATACTTACACACCTACATAACAGGTGTACCGTACATTGTAGTTAAACAGTAATCAATGCAAACGTACACAACTACATTACAGGTATACCAAGCTTTGTAGTGAAACAGTAATCATACTTACACACCTACATTACAGGTATACCAAGCTACCTGTAATATATTCCTGTTTTAACATGATTTCGTACAAGGAACTTATTGTCTTTACGCACTATATTTTTATGGAATGTAAACTGCATTAAATTATCTCATAATGTCTTATTTACTTACCTGTGTGACCTACTTCACATTAAGCTTACATGTTTTTTATTTAGATATTAAATTCCTAAAATACTTGTGAACATTCCAAAACGAAAGTGTAATATGTTCCATATAAACATCTCTTTACTTAATGTTCACTGCAAAGCCTAACGCCACAGCATTCAATGAAGTGGAAGTCGTGCCATCATCTAATGTTGAGGAGGGACAGACGGTCAGATTCACCAGTACCGGTAATGTTGGTCGGCCGGCAGGGACCTTCTTATGGACCAGGTACAAAGGTACAACAGCCGGTACTGGTACCCCGTTACACTCTACCACACAGAAATCCCCTAGTACCGACTGTACCTACACCGGCAGTAGTGTCATCTCTATACCGATGACCAAAGACGACGACGGTATCGTTGTTAAGTGTGCCTTACAACAGGAAACCATTAGCGACCCCACAGACACCGCCTACTTTAAACTAAGTGATGTCATCAACGTGTTTTGTAAGTAAATGTGTATCTTATCAATTGGTAATCAATTAAAAATAAGATTCTTAATGATGTTGTATGTTGTTATGGCGAAAGTATTGGGTCATTTTGACCAATATCTTGTTTTCTTTTGATAACAGTAAAAAGGAAAAACATATGGTATGGTGATAAATGTTAACGTTACACATGTCTTTGATTTTATAAATATCTGTGACAAATGAAGAAAATTATTCTACGATACTAAGGTCTTTAGATGAAATGAATATTAGCATACTAAGGTTGTCTGTTAGCTCTTTATTCGTATCTTAAGTTGTACATGAGTAATGTTGTTTAACGTCAAACAGACAAAGTGAGAGCGCCTACCATTACAAAGAGTCCTAATGCAGCAGTTCATTATGAGGACACCACCTTGACCTTGACCTGTGCTGCCGAGGGTAACCCTACTCCTACGTATGTTTGGCGGCATAATGGAAGACAGGTCGGCAACTTAGCACAGCTTCAACTGACCAACGTCAAGATTGCCCAATCAGGAGACTATGTCTGTGAGGCCACGAACAACTTTAACGGGAACACGTACGACATGACCAGTACAGTCAGCTTTACCATAGGTAGGACTAGATAATACAGTGATGACAGTTTAACGCTGCACTATATAACAATAAATATGTATTAACGATATGGGGAAGGGTATGTATTACTAAATCCCAAAGTGATGTTAAAAATACTACCATAAACTGTCTGTGTAACAAAGAAGTAATGTCAATAAAATCGTTATTCATGAGGGATAAGTTGATGATGCTGAGCCGTCATTTCTTTCAGTTGTTGCTTGTAGAGAATATAATACCAAATACTCGAAATTCCATTGGTTACACCCTCTAATGTTCTGTGCTCACCTGCACTCCTGGAGTATGTTTATATGATTGCAAGTGAGCGTAACCCCTGGAGTCGGGGATAGTAAAATCATATTATTATACAATAAAAGAATGGGAAAATACCTGAATACTCAAACGTTATAAGGAAGGCAACTCTGATACACTGCCTGTAATGTGATTTAGCTGTGAATGAAATATATTCAAACGGAGAGTGGACTCTAAACGTTATGTAATATGATGGGAAACACCTATTGTGTGAAACCCAAGACTGATTTTAATCTGACACATTAACGATTCAAGTTCGAATTCTTTCAAAAATAAACATGTTATGGCACCTGCAAATCAATAACAACCAGACATAGTAGAGGGCGCTTGGTTTGCTGGGCACTGCTTGACATATGCAAATACGGGATGATTCGGCACGTTTTTTGTTACAGAAACTCCCACTACCACTACACCGATGACTACTACCACGACAGTTCCATATGTAGACCCGACGTCAGGAGGCTCTTACATAAAGCGGACAATTGATGACGCCAGTAAGTATCAACATATATAAACCTCAAGGCAGGACGCAGCACCAATAAACAAGAGACCAATAACAGTAGTAAGTATCTATAAAAGTGCACCACGAATTATGATGTGGTAATAGACATATATACACCCCGACAGGACCGGGTAACAGAGACCGACGATCGAGATAAGTAAAGGCTTATGTACACCCCCGATAGGACATGGAAACTTAGACCAACGATTGAGGTAAAATAAAGACTTTATAAACCCCCGACAGGACGTGGTAACAGAGACCGACGATTGTGGTAAGTATAGACAAATATAAACCCCCGACATATGATTTGGTAACAGATACCGACGATCGAGGTCAGAATAGACATATGTAAACCCCCGACAGGACGTGCTAACAGAGACCGACGATCGAGGTCAGTATAGACATATATAAACCCCCGACAGGACGTGGTAACCTAGACTGACGATCGAGGTCAGTATAGACATATATAAAACCCCGACAGGACGTGGAAACAGAGACTGACGATCGAAGTAAGTATAGACATATGTAAACCCCCGACAGGACGTGGAAACAGAGACTGACGATCGAGGTCAGTATAGTTATATATAAACCCCCGAAAGGACGTGGTAACAAAAACCATAGACAAATAAGTAGCCTTTGGCTGAGGTCGATACCTGGATCTATCAACCCGAGAAAAGATGTATTGACCGAGGTCTTTTCTAGGGTTGATAAATCCAGGTATCGACCGAAGTTAAAGGCTACAATTTTTTTATTATTTTAAAAACAGTGATGTAAGCAATCTGACAAAGACAAAAAAAACAGCAAAAAAACTTCGGCAGCGGGACAGTGCATTGTTTGGAGACACGTCATAATTCTATTTTTATAAACACACAGTTCTTCAACAAAATACACGGTGGACACGTGATGCACTCCTAGACAATCACTTGTCGGGAATAATATGAAAAAATAATAAGATTTATATGAATCATCAGTTTAAAATGCACACAAAGTTGTTCTTCCCACATCCTTACAACTTGCAAGTAATTTGATTTTAAACAATATTGTTTGATATATAACGTCATTTTAGCATTTTCACTAGTTTCATTTTTTCCTCTTTTTTCTACCGAGATTTTCTTGTTATGACAGGAGGGGCATATTTGTTTTTAAACTAAAACATATATTGTTTATATAGATTCAACACGCCTGTATACAGCTGGGGCTGTGATGTTGTGTTTGTCGGTGATCCTGCTGATAGTGACAGTCGTACTCGGGATATTCATTAGTCGTGAGTATATAACTGAAAGTCCTGAAAATTATATATATTGTGTTTATCCTATTACACGCGAGGCATTCGCAATAACATGATATTCAAAATCCAATGAAAATGATTTGCAAGGTCTTTTTTAAGGAAATTAATTTGATGTCGAAATAATAGTTCCCGAAATGTGGTAATACATGTTAATTCATTTATCTATAATTAGCAAATCATTGTATATTTACAAAAATAAAAATATAAATCCATCATATATATTTCAATTGCACAAAATTACTACAAATGATGTGTTTGTTTTAGGAAACAAAAAACTGCCATGTTTGTAAGTATATTTTCTATATTAACAAATGCTGTTCTGTCTGTGTATTTATATTGCCCTTTCTCCGTCATAGATATTTCAACCGTTAATGTTTTTCTATATTATTTTGGTCGGGAATAAATCATAACATATTTTGCATGTAGAAAATAATTACTTGGTACAATAGAAGATGATAAGAATCAGTCGAAATGGCTAAATATCACAGATACAAGTTTCATAGTTAGTTCACTTCATTACATGTCATCTTGACATTTTAAATCAGTGTAACTAGCGTATATGATATATGCTGTGTAGTAATTGGGAGAATAGATATCACATTTTGATAATTAATTCATTAAATAAAGGCCTGTTCAATTTCCAGCAAAATTTCGAAAATGGAGGAATCAAGTCACTTTCATGGGGTTCATCATTCAGGTAAATAGCAAATTATCATTTTCTTGTAAGAAACCGGCGAATAAAAATTGCCATTCCCATTCCGGGCATTTGGCGCTCGCCTGTCACTTGTCCTGTGATTACGTTTCACTACACCGATTCTTACTTTGAGGAAGTGATATTAGATGTGACCTAGATTTACGTTGATGAAGAAGAAGTCGTGTATCTTTCTGGAACTCCTGGCTCTGTTTTCCTTGTACTTTATCAAGGCTCTCCATGCTAATCTTTCTTTCTTTCACTTTCGTTTTCGAATTACAGTTTGTTTTTCCAACACCTTCATATGCATCAGATGTAGTATTCTCTAGTAAAATAATATTGAATTTTGTTTTTCAGTAAGTACAATTCACGATGAAGACGAAAGGTAGTGCTATCATAGATAAACACATTGTCTACCTAAAGTAGGTCCTCCCTCGTTCGATAATTTAGATATAACGTATGCGGGGATGACTGATAATAGGACTAATAACAGTATTTGTTAGTGTTAAATAGAACCTTCGATAACACAGTTTACTCATTATTTTTTTCGGAAGGTCTCAATTTTTTTTCAGTTTTTCTAAAGAAATAATGTATGTAGTAAAATAAAGTTTTTGATGAAGGGACCTATTTTACAGAAATATAATGCACATTTGTCTTGGGTCATGGTCATTTCTTATAGTTGAAGCCTTATGGGCGATATGAACCATACACTCTAGGTCGAAAAGTACTTGTGAGGTTTTATTAATAATATTAATTGTTTATACCCCTTACAAATTATTCGACAGCGAAAATGTTAAATCAAGAAGGGAAGACCTACGTTAAGGTTTAAAGATGAGATAATTTGCATTTGTTTAGATAAATAACGGTGGTCCTCGCAAGGGATATGTTTTTTATATGTTGGGCTGATAACACTAGTTACCATGCGGAACGTGTTAAATATGTATGAGGTTAATAACAACAGTTATCATGAGGATTTGTTTGGTTACACACTAATAATATTATGAAGGATTTGTTTTTTGTGTTAATTCCAATACATGTAATTATCACGTGGGAGCAGCAGACCCAACAGTTACACGCAATGTTTTTCAGATTTCCTATTTCAGTTACATTCTATAAATAGTACGATTGGTTACTAGTAAAGCGTCAGGTTTGAAAAAAACATTGGAATGAGCTGTAAGTAGTGTAAGTATCAGATCTGTTCGACAAAACTATTTTTGTATCTTAACAGATCTCGATACCAACAACTAGACTCGGCCGATATCGCTGGACCATTTGTGTATCAGGCGCTCGGACAACCTCCTAACGGTAAGGTGATGTCTGTGTTTGGGGTTACCTAAAATAACATGCAAGTGAATCTGCAGTCAAAAATAAGGTTATAATTATAAATTACAATTTTGTCTTGATATCAATATGTTTATATAATTAAAAGGAAGTTTTAACATGTATAATTGTATATAGGACAGTTTGGTTTAATGACTGCGTAATGCATTCAGCATATATCCCTATCACCGCACGTACACGGTTTTAAATTTAAATTTTACTTTATTTGGATGTGCTTTAAGCAATATCGAATGCTGACTTTGTCATTTCTACAATTTTAATTTAAGTGTCACATACATAAGAAAGGATTTTGTTAATTGAAAAAGAGTATCACACAAAAGATATATTGAGTATTGATGTCGATGTCCTTTTGTTGTAGGTGAACAAGGCCGCTTAGACAGGTAAGTTGGAGTAAATACCATAACAACATACGGATGTTACACTCCCTGTAACAAACACGTCAAACGTCATCCCTATATACTACACTGTCAGTTGTCTGATGAAACTTACTTTTCAACGTCACTAGTAGTTTGTTGTGAATTCCATTAAATAGTCTTTATCCATATATATTTTTTATTCAATACCCAATGCTACCTGTTTGTTTTAACTCTCTCATTCGTGTTACAGAAATGATGATATGATAAAAGATAAGCCCGCCCCCAGTCTTTACGACGAGGTACATGGACCAGGGGACGGTAAGGTTAACTATTTTATAGGGATGTTCAGTGTTAACGGTGTGACATCACAGAACACCGCTTATAGTCAATCAAAATAGTCCTCTTATCTTCTTACTGTACAGGTATGAAACGTTTCAACAACACAATGTATTGAAAGTCAGCAATCGAGTAAGAAACAAACAGTATTTGTAATTGTATCATTTTAATTCAGTAATGTAAAGAAAGAACTTTAAGCAACATTTCTTGATATTACACATATTTGATTTGTATATTATTCAATGTAAGATAATACTTCAGTAATATACTTTCTTTGTGATTATCTGTTGTAGGTTATACCAGGTCCTACGTCAACATGGCTTTTTCCGGGAACACACCAACTGTCGGAAAATAGCGTTAAACCAGGGCCCAGACTATAAAAAGAAAGAGGCGGAGCCTAAATTTGAAAATGTCTGTTTTTTAGCTGCAATTAAGAGCTCAGACAAATATTTTCAATAAAATCAAAAGTTTCAGGAAAATAAGAACAACAGACTACACATTAACAAAATCGTTGATACATCGTGGATAATTTCACGAGAGGGCAAATCAATATTTCTCACCGTTTTCTAATAGTATTAACACAAGTACAATGTGTTTACGTAGTTCTGTATCGATTTGGTTGTTGTATTACTGTTTTTGTCGAACATTTGTTATGTATAGTTTTCTTTATTTCTTAATTATTTTGAAAAAATTGTATACACACTAAATATGCTTTTTTATATCACATTTAATATTAATATCACACTAAGTTCCGCTCAGATTTTTTTCTTATTTCTTACAGTTGATAAAAAAGACATTTGCTCTGAATAATTTAAGAATGTACTCATCTGAGATTCAATTCACGTTCGAATCTGGTATTGAACTAGTGAAACGGGTTTCTATAAAATTTATTTTCGTATGCATCTGAAAAAAGTGTAAAAAAAATACATGTCTATTACATGTATTTCCAGAATCTTTTTTTTACATTTTAAAAAATTACTAATTCGGCGGTCATTTGAATATCCGAAAAAAATGTGTATTTCATGCAATGATAACCATTTTTGTTGTTACGTCACTAAAAGTGTCATTGTATCACTGTTTTTAACTGTAGCAAGTTGATTTTTGCTATGCAAGATTTGATTGTTCAATGTTAATAATATAATATGCAACAAAGTGGAAAAATTATTAAAAGTTGTTATTTCATTACTTTTTTAGTTCGACTGAAGCTCTATTGATTTATTATCCTGGTGAAGAATAATACAAAAAAATAAATAACGGAGAAGCACAAAAAACACATGTTGGCGTCAGTTTTATGAAGAGAAACAAATTATCTTGATCCATTGAATATTTACATATTTAAGAAAAGGAATATTTCTTTTTTCTTTCAAATAAGGGGTAAGGGTAACAAAAACTGCCTTTGTTAGATAATAGCGTTAGTTTAAGAATTTGCTCTTCCTCTTTTTACAGGAGACTACTACTCTTATCAATTTTTCAAACGTTCATAGACTTCTTATAACACACTACGGAGATAATGAATGATCGTTTTCTGCATACAGTCGGAACAAAACAAAATTTACCAGGATTAACATATTACGTCAAATTGGTGTCCTTTCATCATATCACAAAATACTGACATTTTATTGTTTCTTGTTTTTTTCTTTGGCATTTTCACTTATGTCACTGACTCTTTTTTGAAAAATATCTATTAGAAAATCGTTTGATATATAATTTGTTTAAACTTCTCAAAGGAGTTCATCCTAAATTTATATTACACGGATAAGTGGTCAGTTAATAATATTAGATGACACATTAATTAGTATTTTGGTGATTCAATTTAATGTTCATTTGCATAATTTACCAGATTTTGATTTGCCTTCTACCTTATTGGGTAGTGAATTAAATTATGAACTGTCATCTAAAGATATTGATTATTTACTATTAGGGGTAGTAACATATGTGTATCAAATAATAAAAATTACAAACAAAACATTTGATTATATATTTAAGCAAGGATGCCAATTATAATGTACATCTTCTTTCTCTTATAAAATATATATGTACACATTAAAATAACAATAAATGTGTACTTTCCAATGTTCACGTACATATATTGATTGATACTTATATGTAACGTTTCTGTTTATGTAATCTTCACATTTGCGGAAATAAAGATAACAATGACGTCATTGCAATGGTATATCACAATGCTCCCTGCCAAATGCAGTACTTTCCTCTAATTTACACACCTACATTACAGGTGTACCGTACATTGTAGTGAAACAATAATTTGATTTATTACATTGAATGTGCCAACTCCAAAATGTTACTATAAAAAGGTTTAAGCAAGAATAAAGACATATTCATCATCTTTTAGCTATTTTTTTTTTAATGAGTTGATACTACAAAACCATCTGCAAATGACAATGAAATCGATATGAACACGTTTTAACTTCATATGGTAAATTTGATATATATGAGTGGTTGTATTAAGTCTACACCGTTGAGGTAAGGACCAATACCGACGGTACGTATTAGCATATGTAAAGTCAAGAACGGGACGCTGTGCCACAATCTGATGACAGCAGTTAGTAATATTTATTTATAAGTTGTGATCGGTTTAATTTGAATTGACAAAATTAACTTGAATAATCCTCTCGTATTTCCAATTATGTCCTATTTAGAATGTAATTTAATCAATGTTTTCGCCGGTTAAAAATGGTTATTAATTATGCATACTATTTTGCTTATGTAATCAACCAGCAGTTACAGTTGGGGATGTAACTGTGGTCGGACTCGGGGATTTTGAGTAGAGAATAGTAGTACATTTTAACATTGTTAAGTTCATACTATATATCAGCTAGGCATTTAATGTCACTGCGTTCATAGGAACGTGATTTAGCAAAACTTAAAAGATGCTTTTTCATTGATTTTATTGTAAGTTTTGTAAGATGTTAACATAAGCATTGCAGAAAGATGTATGCCTTATAATATGTTTTGCCGGCTTAAGCAATGTATTGCAGTTTTGATTTGTAGATAAATAATACATATATTAATGTAGAATTGGTGTTGTTGTGTTAATCAAACAGTTAATTACACTATCGGTAAGTATAATAATGTAGTACATTGTATGTGTATGGCTTTATGTTTGTATCTATTATATGATTTCGTTGTGTTCTCATTGATTACTTCCGTCACTTTCTGAAACATTAAGGCGTGAAAACTGACTGTCATTCGGAACCTGTTTAGCGATTGTTGACATACGGTAATTTGCTATTAAAAAGATAATGCATAAA